CCGCCCCCGCGGGCCCGCACGCCCGCCCGGGGCCGCGGCAGCGGCGCTCCAGCCCGCTCGGCTCCAGCCCGCGCGGCCGCCGCAGCGCGCGGAAGACAGCAGCCGAGGGGCGACGGCGACCGAAACCCGGACCCGCGCAGAGACGCGGAGGAGAGACCGCTCGAGAGACTCGGAGGCAGAGCAGAGACACTGCGGTCCAGAGATGGAGACGTGGACCGGGAGACACGGATGCAGAGACACGGCGCTAAAGAGACACACTCCTAAGGCCGAAACACCAAAGGAGAGAGACAGAGATTCCGAGAGAAAGACTCAGAGACTAGAGCCCGAGAGCCTGGTCCCCAGGGAGAGTGACAGAGCAAGCCGGCAGAGGTGGAAGACAGGGACACAGGGAGGCTCCGTAAAGCCAAGTGACCAGAGAGAACCCCCTACTCCACGGGTTCTGGATCATTTCTGGGGTCTGACCTAGCCTCAAAAGAGAAGGGATTCCTGCGCCTTGAACTCTAAACAAACACAGGAAACACATGCAAATCCCACCTAGATTCAGGCTGGAGTGGGGTTTGTAGACCCCAGTGGCCTGGCAGTGAGCAGCCCCTGCCTTCCACTTCCCAGTCTGGGACGCAGACATTCTAGTGAATAGGCCTCAGGAGTGCTGGGGAGGTTTGGGTTATGACTTCTTCTTAGTAGCAGAGAGGGAGCCACAGTGCAGCCTAAAAAGGAGCAGGAGATAGTCGATCATTTTTCAGTGGTGCCTGGAAGGCAAGAACCCAGGTGGGAGGTGCTGGGAGACAGCAGGCTCCTCCCCAACCCAAGGCGGTGCAGGGTCTTTGGGCCCAGTAGATGTCTGACCTCCCTTCTACAGCTCATCCCCCCAAACCAGCTTCCTGGCTCCCTCCCCCCAGATGGGGACAGGGGGTGAATGTTCCTCAGATTACTTCAACCTCCACTGAACCCTCCACAGAGAAGAAGCCCTGCTTCCTTCCCAGGAATTGGTAAGGCTAAAGCCCAGTTACAGAGTTACAGTCTGCAGCCAGGCACCCACCTGCTCTGTCCCACCCCAGCTGCCAAGGAAAAGTTCCATCAGAGAATCCTCCCCCTGGGCTAGTTGTTGTGGTCCTGACTCCAAGGGTCCTGTATGCTCCTCTGTGGAAATGGGGCACAGACAGGGCTAAAGGAGACCTCAGGGGACATCTAGGCCAGCCCCCCCCCCCCGGGGATTTGACTCTGTCCACAGGATCCCTACTAAGCAGCCGTTTAGCTCCTGGCTGATTACATCCACGGTCAGGGAGCTCAGGACCTCCAGCCAGAGTCCTTCCATCTTTGGATAATGCAGGCAGTGAGAATGTTCTTCCTCACCTGAGCTGACATCTGCCTCCTGTATGAACCGCTCATGGGTCCTGCTCTGCCTTCAGATACCTTGCCTGCCCAAAACCAAGGCTTCCCAGGGCTCTCTGCCCAAGCTCCCAACTGTGACTTCAGCTGGGGAGATAAACCACCTTGGTTTGCTGGGGACGTCCTAGTTTTAGCACTCAAAGTCTCATATCCCAGGAAATTCCTCAGTCTCAGAGCCAGACAGCAGCACTGACTCCAGTACACATAGAATTTCAGAAGCTCTGAGGTGGTGAATCCAGAGCTGTTCACCAGCACTTCCATTGTTACCAGCTAGGGGAGTGGGAATGGACCCCACAGCCCTTCCCCAGTCCTGGGCTGAGTGTGGGGATGAGAGAGCAGTGAATATGTACAGGCAGGCAGTGTGCTCAGGGCTTTCTATGTCCTGCCATTTAATCTCCATGGACTCCCCAGGGTATATTGTACTGTCCCCCATTAAATAGAAGGGAGCAAGTTGGAGGAAGGAGGGTCTGAGAAGGCTGGTGCTCATGGCCACTCAGTATTAGATTTCAGGCCTACGGGCTGCCCACTGCGCCTCCCTGTCCTTACCCTCCCCTGCAGTGGAGGGAGCTTCAGAGGTCTAACAGCCTTAATAAGGTCCGGTTTAGCCACTGGTCTATGGATGTGTGAGTGGTCACAGAGGAGACAGACCACTGACAGACCCAGAAGCAATAACCCTGCCACAGAGGGGACACATCTGGGCCTAGGCACCTCCCCCAGCCTTTGGCTCACAGCAGCAACAGGGACCACAGGCCATCTGCCAAGGGCCCTGCTGTTTCCTGGCACAGCCCCATGTGTGTGCCTGCATGTGTGTGCACATGCCTATGTAGACATCCATGGGGGTGTGTGTGCATATCACACAAACATAGACATAGGCAAACATCCACCTGCTGATAGAAGGTGCTCCCTGGGTGGGCACCAAGATCCCTTCCCCAACCACTCAGTCCCATCACCATAAACCCCAAACTAGTCACCTTGGGAGGGAGAAGCAGTTAGGGGGAAGTGCTGTGTTGATGGGAATTTCAGAAATCACCTCTCCTCTAGACCACTCTCCCCACCCCTTTTCTCAGATGAGAAGAAGTAGGCCAGACCTATCATGTGAGAATGGATAGCTCTGGGCAGACCCACTCCTTCCCCTCCTTACCCTTTCACCACAGCCCAGCTCCCATCTGAAAATGAGCATTATTAGGTGAATCTGGAGTCCAGCTGGAAGTATAGGGCACTGGCCCCCTGGGGCAGCTCCCAAAGGCACTCACTGTTACCAGCTACCAAGGAAGTTCTGGCCCTGCCTTCAGACAGAGCAAACACGTCCAGGACTCAAGGCCATTAGATTAACTGGTGGGAGTTAACTTCCTGCGTCAATAGAATTGTCCTTAATTGAAGAAAAGAATAACTGGCAATTAAGAGATGCTGACCTTGGCTGCCCAGCAGAGAGACAAGTAGGAGACAGAGGGGCCTCCTGGGCCTTTGAGTTCTCAGTGCAAGATTTACTGTGTCAGGGTTCTAGACCTAATCCCTTCTCTCAAACCTTTCCTCTAACCACACTCTAAACACAGGCAGCCTTATAAACTAGAGAACTAGGAAAACGGAGCAGAGGCCAGACCTGTCCATGACCCTGGGGGGGAGTGTGCACAGAGGTGGCCAGACTGCAGAGCTCTGGGCAAGTAGCAGGCTGTAAGACAACTCCTTGACATGACAGACCCCAGGCCTGGTTATTGATCCTGGTCAGATGGTGTCCAAACACCTGGGAGGGTGAGCAGCAGCCCCTAGCAGCCAACATGGCCCCCCAGAAAGCCAGTCTTAGTCTCAAGCTAAGCTCATTTCCTTTCTGGACATGGTTACAATGTGGAGGTGAGCACTGCCATGCCTTCTGGGTCTAGGCACAGATACAGCTGCTGCCCAACTCTCTGACAGTAATTTTGTGAACAGAGAACAAAAGACAAGTTTATGACCTGGTCCAACACCTTATCCTTGTCCACCCCTGGTGGACTCTGGCAGAAGAAGGCCTCCCCAGGACATGAGCCACAGAAAGCATTTCAGCAAAGGTGCTCTGGACAGAGAACAAGCAGCATAAGAAGGGTGCGGCTCATGTGGACTGGATGGGGGACTCATCTGGCCAGATGCATGGTCATTCACGGTGACCTTGACAAGCTAGGACCGTGGGCCTAGCCAAGAGGATGAGATGAACATGGACAAACAAGCACCTTCCTCCAAAAGTCTCTCTCAGCCTCCCAGCTCTAAGTGTTCACTCGCACATCTAATTTTCCAAGGCCCCTTTTCTCCCTGAGTGCTGCTCCCTCGCCAGAACCACAACGTTATGTTTCACCTGAACCACTGGAAGCACCTTCTTTTCCTGACATGTCTCCAGGCCTGACTCTGCACCTGTCAGCATGCTATTCTTCCTGCTTCCCATACTCTAAAGCTACAGTCCCCAGTGCCCCGACTGTAGATTGGTACATTTCCATGGCCTGTTAGGAACCTGGCCATGCAGCAGGAGGTGAGCAGTGATGAAGCTTCATCTGTATTTACAGCCATTCCCCATTGCTCACATCACTGCCTGAGTTCCACTTCCTGTCACGTCAGCAGTGGCGTTAAATTCTCATAGGAGCATGAACCCTACTGTATACTGTCCATGTGAGGGATCTAGGTCATATACTTCTTTATGAGACTCTAATATCCCCTCCCCAGTCTGTGGGAAAGTGTCTTATATCAAACCTGTCCCTAGTGCCAAAATTGTTGGAGACCACAACTTTAAAGACTCGTGCTTGCTATCCATTCCTATGGGACCACCACTCATCACAAAAGCAACCCAGGACACAGGTGTATTTCTTCTAAAATAGCTGAGAGTAGCAGGTTTGTTCTCACTATCACCCTCTTGCCCCAGGCTCCCCCCACTTCTGCCCAACATCCTGGACACTGCAGGGAATGTGCCCTTCCCTCCAGGGCTGCTTAGTCTTCTCCTTGCTAGTGGCTGTGGCTTATTGAGTCTGTGCTTCTATCTTCATCCCCAAGAAGGGTTCAGACTCTGCCCATCTTCATCCCCTCTGGTGAGGGCCCGTGTTTCAGTAGCTACGTTGACAACCTCAAGGCAGATGCTATAAAGAAGGCCCTGGGTTACCAAGGGGCTCATTTGTGGTCTCTTGCAGAGGCAGGATGATTCCCTAAGGTCAAGAAATGACCTCTTAGGTGATCTTTAGACCCCCATGTGTAAGGACCCCCACCCAACACAGACCCCCCACCCAGTAAAGCAAGCTGAATGTTTGGTCCTTCTATTAGAGTGCATGCCTGCCATGTTCTCACAAGGGTGGGCTGCAAAATCTAGATAGCATATGAATACATATGCCCTCA